ACTAGAGGACTGATTCACAAAATATGTTGGATCGACCATATTACCGTTAGACTAATTTATACAAGAATTTGTGTTTGGTGTACTGAATATGAAGCTCAACTAGAAGCTTATTTAACTATATGCTTCTCAATTTTCCACCTAAGAACAAAGATCAAATCACAGCTCTCTACAATCAATAGAAATTTCATCCGAGGCTTTTTCTTCTCCCTCTTAGGTAAAATAATCAACAGTTCTCATGAAAATTTTGGGGGAAAATAAATATGTTTGTGTACCTTTACTGTCGCCACCATCGCCGCCGCCGTTTTTCTGGGGCGGCGGCATTTTCGAGCAGAAGGGTTTGAGAATTTTCTGATTCGATTTAATTTTCCATAGATTTTGAGAGTAAAGACTCACGATTTGAAGTCGAATATCCATTGCTAAATATATATATATATATTTTATTTAAAATCGGTCTTGAACGAGATTCTGAGATTTCAGCCGCAAAATGAAAATGGCAGTGTAAAAAAAATATGGAAGAAGGAGAAGAATTTTGGAGCGGTTGATTTTGAGGTGGAGTCGTTTTTCAGTTGAAAATGAAAACCACATATATATGGCTGGAACTTTTTTTTATTTCCTTTTCTTTATTCTTTTTAAAAAAAATCTGATATTTTTTTTTTCTTTTCCATTTTCTGATTTCTTATTTCCTTTTATTTATTCTGTTTTTTAAAAAAAATCTGATATTTTTTTTTTTTCCTTTTCCATTTTCTGATTTAGTATTGTTGTCATTTCCTTTAAAATTCTAGTAACATTTTTATTTTTATTCATTTTTTATATATAATTTAAAATTTGTGTTTATTTTACAATCGTAAAAAAATAATTATTTTGGAGTATTAATAAATTTATTTTATAATATTGCATATAAAATGGACTTAAATGTATTATTTAACATTGATTTGAAAATAAGAATTTAGTCTCAATTTATTCATATAATATTTTTTCCCACTACTATGTGCGAAAAGTCGTTTCGTATCGTTGTGGCTTGACTTTGAATTGGCTAAATAAAGAGTTGAAATCAAGAAAAAAAATAAAAGAATTGAAACACGACTTCGGAATATAAATATATGTATAATAAAATTTACCATTTATCAACGAGCACATCTAACTATTAATCTGGCTAATTAATATAGTATTATTTCTATATTACATGAAGATTTATAATTATATTTCTTTAATTTTAGTTACAATATTAAATTTATTCATTTCTTCTAAAACTATCAAATGACGGGACTTTTGGATGTACTCATGAATGTATTCGCATGATTCATCTAATTTTCCCTATACCTTATCTAGAGCCTTGCGCTTTGATCTCTATGTTTTTTTCAATTTTTGTACGATATATCGGTAACATATCTCAATTTCATATATTGTATAATTTATGCAGGGTTGTATTTGGCATTCACATTTGTGAATTTCTTCTTTATGCATTCACTAATAAGTGTTGACGTGGCTTGTCGTTGGTTACTTCTTTGCACCTGGAATGGACAATTATGATCGTTCACCATTTCCCTGATTTTGAACATACTCGATTGTCCTACTCTGGAAGACTTAATGAACCAGCTGCATCCTTCGCATACATACTTCACAAAGTACTATTTAGGACACGATTTTTCTACCTTGAATTGGAACTGGTGCTTGATTGTATACAATGCAAGCATTTTTCTGCCGGCTTGTTTTGTTGGGAAAGAAATGTCCAACTGATGGATTGTCCATCACTATCTATATGTGGTCTGTTGTATTTGGGTTGTATTTGGCATTCACCTTTGTGAATTTACTCTTTATGCATTCACTAACAAGTGTTGACGTGGCTTGTCGTTGGTTGCTTCTTTGCACCTGGAATGGACAATTATGATCGTTCACCATTTCCCTGATTTTGAACATACTCGATTGTCCTACTCTAGAAGACTTAAAGAACCAGTTGCATCCTTCACATACATACTTCACAAAGTACTATATAGGACACGATTTTTCTACCTTGAATTGGAACTGGTGCTTGATTGTATACGATGCAAGCATTTTTCTGCCGGCTTGTTTTGTTGGGAAAGGAATGTCCAACTGATGGATTGTCCATCACTATCTATATGTGGTCGGTTGTTGTTCAATAGTTAATGCAACTAACGACATGTCTTCGTCAGCTTCCCTTGCAAAATCCATAAAATTCACAGAAGTTGTAGCCCAATTGTCATCTTGATGAAAGTTCAAAGCGGCAACAATGCATTCATTTCCTAAAACTTCGTTGTGATTGCCATTGATTGAAGAGTGGAACTGGAACCAAATCAGTTATTTCTCCTTGATCACACATATTGGAACCTTAGTGTAATCAGCCTCCCTTGACGTAATTTCCATGTACTATCCAAGGCTATGATCATCGTTAATTTTACTTGTTGGATAACCATCTTGTACCTAATGCTTAGAACGCAACCTTGTTTCCATGTGGTTTAGCTTCACTGAATCTGCAACTTGCTTGATGAACTCTCTGAAACAACAATTCTGATTTACCATTATTCCGCCAACTTCAAAACTATTGTAAGTGTTGTTACACCACTCTCCATTGTAGTGCAAAATTAAAAACACAATAATTATCGACATTTTCCTGCAAAGTAATACACAAAAACCTCACTGAACACTACAAAAATCGGATTGCTTAAAAACAAAAAAATCACATGATGCCATCTTTACAAATTAGATATTATGTTCAACAAAAATAACATTGGCTACCTTAATTCAACTGATAATATTCAAAATATACATTCAATCTCTCCGATTGCTTGATCTAAAATCGCCGTCGACGTGAGGTTTGAAAGAAACTCTTCACGAGCTCGACATTCAGAAATTACCTTCTCAACACGATTTTCACATTTCCATAAATCATTTGATCGTTACTTTCTACTGCTGATTCTTACAACCGTTTCATTTTTTGTAGAATTTCTTTCATACCAAAATGCGCGAGAGAATTTCAGGGAAAATCAGTTAGGATTGCACAACGATTTTCCCTTCCATTTGTTATAGAGTCGTAATTTTGTCTAGTATTTATTATGTGATACAAACCTGCATTTAAAAGATTAATTTCGTTTAAGTAAGGAGCAGACCCACAGGGGGTCCTGCAAGGGCACGTGCCCCTGTGCTCTCAGAACTTTTAATATGTATACAGTATATATTATATTATATATATATATTAAGGATGTTAACTTTATTGATGGCCCTCACTACTCTACAAGTCAATTTTTTCTTTTTCCCACTTCCAGCAGAAAGCCCATTAGTACTCCCTNTCGCCCCGCAAAGCTACCAAATTTCGGTGCAATTAACAGGAAAAAAAAAATGAAAAAAATCTTTCAATAATCGAAGTGGTTTGTACTTCTTCTACCTCAGTTAGCTATCAATTTTTATTTCAAAAGGTATGCTTTATTTAATTATTTTTTAGGTATTATAATCTTTAACTTATATTTGAGATGAATGATTTAATTATTGAACGCTATCAAAATATGAGAACACGTAAAGAAAAATTGTAATGTAATATTTGGCAAATTTTTGGTTCTTTTATGAATAATATTGTGCCCCTACATTTAAATTTCTGCGTCCGCTCTGGTGTAAGTGACATGGTTGTGAGATAGCCAAGTGATGCGTCTTTTTGCCATTTATTTATATACAATCGCTCTATAATTAAGAGCTTAGTGGGTCGTATGTTGAAATATGGATTTATTTTGTTCAAATCGTAACCAACAAAGGCCCAATCAATACAGTATAATCACAGTCAATGGCATTTCTGTAATATACCATCATTTTGCCTTGTACTATATATACCCGTCAGCTCAACTCCCCACCTCAAAACCCTATCTCAGCCGCAAACTCCAAACATCCCCAATGGCCGCCGCTGCCGCTGCCGCCGCAGCCCGCCCCCTCGTCACCGTCCACACCGTGGAGAGCGACATGGCCACTGATGACGACGCCGCCAAGTCCCTTCCTCTCCCGGACGTGATGAAGGCGGCGATCCGCCCTGACATCGTCACGTTCATCCACGGCCAGATCACCAACAACGCCCGCCAACCCTACGCCGTCTCCAAGCGCGCCGGCTACCAGACCTCCGCCGAGTCCTGGGGAACCGGCCGCGCCGTCTCCCGTATCCCCCGCGTCCCCGGTGGAGGCACCCACCGCGCCGGCCAGGGAGCCTTCGGGAACATGTGCAGAGGCGGCGGCATGTTCGCGCCGACCAAGATCTGGCGCCGCTGGCACAGGGCCGTCAACGTCACCCAGAAGAGGCACGCCGTGGTCTCGGCGATCGCCGCCTCTGCTGTCCCCTCGCTCGTGCTCGCGCGCGGCCACAGGATCGAGGAAGCTCCCGAGCTTCCTTTGGTCGTGTCGGACACCGTCGAGGCTGTTGAGAAGACCAGCGCCGCCATCAAAATTCTCAAGCAGGTCGGTGCATACCTTGATGCCGAGAAGGCTAAGGACAGCCATGCTATTCGCCCAGGAAAGGGTAAAATGCGCAACCGCCGCTACATTTCCAGGAAAGGTCCTCTCGTGGTGTACGGGACTGAAGGCGCCAAGCTGACCAAGGCTTTCAGGAACATCCCCGGAGTTGAGCTGGCCCACGTGTCCCGACTCAATCTCCTCAAGCTCGCCCCTGGAGGCCATCTTGGGAGGTTTATTGTCTGGACTAAATCTGCTTTCGAGAAGCTTGACGAGATTTACGGGACTTTTGACAAGCCGTCTGAGAAGAAGAAGGGATATGTGCTGCCGAGGACCAAGATGGTGAATGCCGACCTGGCGAGGATCATCAATTCTGATGAGGTGCAGTCTGTTGTGAAGCCTATCAAGAAGGAGATCAAGAGGGCTCCATTGAAGAAGAACCCGCTGAAGAATCTGAATGTGATGTTGAAGCTCAACCCATATGCTAAGGCTGCCAAGCGGATGTCTCTATTGGCCGAGGCCCAGAGAGTTAAGGCTAAGAAGGAGAAGCTTGACAAGAAGAGGAAGCAGATCACCAAGGTACAATGTTCATTCTTTTATTATGCTTAAGGAAGGTGCATTACGCCTATATTTGTTCATGGATATTTGGGTTTGTGATTATATGGTGTTTGCAGTATAAGAATCTTTATATGTCAAATTTGTTATCTGTCAACATCAGTTTGTTTTTGTGTTCTGTATATCTTTTTATTGAATATGATTGATTGATTGTTCAAAGCATCTGGTAGAGTATTCATTTTTATTATTGATGCTAGTTCATTATTCTTACACTTCATTGGTAGCCAAGCATATTGTATCTTAGGAACCCATATGAAAACTAGGCAATTGGAACATTTATTTGTCAGACTTTTCTATGTGCTTAAACTATTTTCCCACATCATGACAAGCTAACATTTGTAAAGGAGAAAAGTTGGAGATTATATTGAGAGACCGACTTTTCTATGTAGCCAATTACCATATATTTCTTTATCACATCTTGCATTGCTTGTTTTAGTGCTGATGTTACATTGTTTTGCTAGTTTCAGATTCTTGTACGTGTTTTTTGTGTTATTTTTCTTGGTAATGTTGGTGAAGCTTGTTGCTTGACTTTCAAATTAAACTACTATTATTCCTGTTTTTCTTAAAGATATCAGTGATATAAAAGACAAAAGTTTGTACTGCCCTAACCCTAATTGTGTGCATTACTTGTGCTCAAATTAGTTTATTAGGCTCCATGTTGGCTTATAATTGTTTCACTCTGATGTGGTTGATGCATTTCATCTTCCCCTCATAATTTATTGTTTGCTCGTCTACTTGGTTCCCTTAGAAGTTAGTCTAGTTATATGGAGTAATTTTTTCCGAAGTACTCTGGTCTTCCTTCGATTTTAAATAGTTCGGAAGACATCAGTACTTAATCATTCTTGTTGGTAATTATTGTCAAATATACCCTCTTAACTTAATATTTTCTTCCAAGTCTGTTTCGTCGATAACTAATCATATTAGCTATGGATGGCAAAGGAGCTTATATTGGTAAACAAGTGTATCTATGTGGACTCCAAATTAGTATTATGGCCTAACTTTGTAAGTCTGCATGAATTTAGATGGGGTAATATATGTAAATGAATATTAATTCTATCCATGTAGACCATCTGAAATAGTAACATACATGGCTTACATTTCTAGGTGGATTGATTATACATTCTGGAATTTCTGTTTATGAACTAGCTGTGTTTCTTGTTTTTGTTTCCACTGTTTTCTTTTGCAGGAAGAGGCATCCGCAATCCAATCTGCTGGCAAGTCTTGGTACAAGACCATGATCTCAGATAGCGATTACACAGAATTCGAGAACTTCTCCAAGTGGTTGGGCGTGTCTCAGTGATTCAATGTCTATTTTAATTTCAGTTAAAACCCATACTTTTTATTTGTTTTGTCTACTGGTATTTACATTGATCTTTGAGGACTTGAATGGGATCATATGGGATGGGGATGACTGCAACGAGTTTCCAAGCTCGTCAAAAGTTTTCCCTTCCCATGCTTTGGTGTCCAGGTTTCTGCGCAGTTTGAGACAATTTTGTTTAGACTATGTTTTAAGGATTTACAGATTTTCATGTGATCAAGCCGTGGTATTTCCGGATTTATTAATTCTTTGTTCTATCCATTTGGTAGTGTGGTTTGTGAATCTTACTTTATACATCTCTTTCATGCTCTCTCTCATGGTGCATGAAAATTCATCTATAATATAAATTGATATATATTAGTTTTGCCTGAGGATGATTTTAGTTGTACTGAAGTTGAAAATCAATCTATGTTTTTTCATTATATTGCTAGCATGAAATACAGAAGCATAATTTCCTGGATCCCGATTGCTTTTAGTTATAACAGATTACAAACCAAGAGTTGCCCGTAGGTGATTTACTCGTCAATTGTTGTTCTTGATAGTTGGGTTGCAAATGCATGTCCTTTGTGCACTCCAGGATATCATTAAGTTTGTTCTTCATAGTTAAGGCTCGAATCTTGAATCAAGCGTACATTGTGCCTTGGATCCAATTTTAGTTGGCTCGATTGAAAGGCTAAGCTTCGGTTTTAAACTGGAGAATTTATCATTGTGCAGTTAGACGTTGCTAGGAATAATTCATAATTGAATGGTATGAATGTACGATTGATACAAAAGTAGGGCTATGTATTTTTATAGGGACCTCTATTTGCTTTCTTGCTAGTATAATAGGAAATGGAAGAGAGGAAAACAAAATGGCCCTACAGGGAAATTTAATTTGGTAGGGGAATTTTGTGGATGGGCTGTGTTGGATTTGTTTGGTACAATTTTATGGTCCCTTAAATATATTCTCGAAGATGTGTACTTTATTTAATTGCTAGATTTCGAAAATTCCAAACTAACTAATTGTAAGAATAAAATAACAATGCCAGAATAATCGCGTCTTTTGGTGCCGTCCTATTCTACACAATGCTAAATGCGAGCAACTTGACAATACCTTACTTTGTTTTTTCAATTATAAATCCCATTAATCTATATTGTACCCATAAATAATAAGATAATCTATATTTAGGATAACAACTTCACATTTAGTTTATTATATTATACTTTTGTAAACCCAGGGTTTATACATTTTTTGTAGAAAATCTGTTTTCATTTCTAATTTGATTGCTAAATAATGAAATACTAGTACAACGCTATTGAACTACACGGGTGTTTGAGGAAAAAATTAATTGTACAACAAAGAATGTAAAAGAAATAAAATTCTTCTTGTGAAATAAAAATTATAAATAATTAATAATAGAATAAAAGAATTTGTAATATTATGTTGAATTCTAGAAAATAATTTGTATGAAATATTATTTATTTTGTTTAAGATATATTTATTTTTTTCAAATCTAAATAGAATAATTAATTTATTCAGCACTTTATATAACACCCGTGAACAACAGGGGCATTAAAATATAAATAAAATATTTGTATCAAAGAAATTTATATTCTTATATTTATGTTCTTGTAATATAATAATAAAAAATTAAGTGTAAAACTAATAATTAAAGATTTATCAAAGTTAGTTTTTTAAAATAATATATTTATTTTACACTCGGTTCGTTAAAATTATATTTTTTTAATGTTACACACACACACACACACACACACATATATATATATATATATATATTTACATTATATGTAACTCATTAATTTTATTTTGAATTAATTTAAAATTTTTCCCAAGTTTATATATATAGTTAATATGGATGTCAAATCGAAAATCGTTAAAAGATAATTAATATGATTTATTTTACATAAAAAACAAAATACGAATAAAATGTTATAAAATTTAAAAAATAAGAAGAAGGCATATTTGTAATAATTGGTGTGTGAATTAAATAAGAAAATGAAATCTAATATAGGGTAATGTAAAAAAAGGAAACGTAAAATAATTTATAGTAACTAATTGTATAAGAAAAGGAGAAATAGATCAATCATAGATTTAATGTGAATAATATAGATGTTTAATACAATCCAAGCCTAACTATTTTTTTTATAAAAAACATTAATCTATATATATATAATTACTAGCTAATAGAATTTAATAAAACCTATTTAATTTTACCTATGTGGCAATTTAACAATTTTTCCTCCAAAAACCGTTACATTTTGATGTATTTAATCTTTCATTTAATCATTAAATAATTAATACTCATCACTTCAAAATTACAAAAATCATTTTAAACTTTTGATTAATGACAGTTGACCATATAATGTGTTGACCGTATAATGTGATTAGATGTTATTATTGTTGTTACATTTGATTTTTTTTTTTGAAAATAAAAAATATATTTGAAATTCCTAAATAAATAATAAATAATTCACAAATAAAAGACGAACCAAAATATATATTACATCCAATCAGATAAACGCAATTTAAAAAAAAATATTCCAACTCTTTTAATTGTAAATTTGGTCTGCAAAAAAGTGAAAGAAAAATAATTAATCATTATATGTACAAACTCACAATAATTTATTTATATCTGTGCAAATGCACAGGTCGAATACTAGTTTATAACCAAGGCTAGGTACAAAATATGATTTTTTGCCACATAAGATTTCGAAGCGTGCGGATTTGACACCTAGGCTCAACGCATTCCACAATTATATATAAGGGGATATGTTCCCCACTACAACACGTACTATGTTAAATATGAGGTTATATAAAGTAATGAAATAATTTTTGTTTTTTTCAATCTATACTTTATGAAATATAACTGTCTCAAGCATATATTGCTTGTATAAAAACCATCAAAATTATTTGAGAGTGAAGACAAACAATGTCATTCTTACCATTTTTTTTTATTTGGATTTAGAACTGTTATTCGAATTGAGCTATTCGCGAACATAATTTAATTTGGTTTTTTCATTTAATGAGCCGAGCTCAAACAAGTAAACCGAATCGAGCTTGTTCACTAACATTCACTTTTCTATAGAGAAATTGAATGTATAAATTGAGTAGAAAATGTTTATAAAAGAACAAATCGTGCTTGCAAATAGCTCTTTATAATTTTGAGTTTATTCAACGAGATGACCGTTTGGCTCGTTTATTAAACAGACTCGAACCTAGCGGACTCATTTATCAAACCACTACTAACTCTTGGATGAAGTATAGGATAATAATTAATAACCAGATTTTCTTTGTCTCATCCTTTTAGGCCCGAGACTAGGTAAAAGAAATTAATTTTGATTTTATTTTTTTTAGTCAATTCAGTCTACTTATTTTTTATTATTATTCTTGTTATATTATGGGGTTTCTTTTAACTCCACAACTGGATCCTGCTAGGCTCCGGTTGAGTTCTCTCCCCAATATTAAATACTCAAGTAATTTAAATTGAACAAATAATTGTGTATATAAAATTATCTACTGCTAGGTTCCTAAATTACTTCTATTATCCTGTCGCAAATTCACAATTTATATCAAATGACGAGTAATGTAGGATATTACAGTAAAGCAGATCCAGTTAGTCCAACTAACAACAGCAAGTCAAAAAGGGGGTTTTCTTTTGAGTGTGCCAGCCAATAAATTAGGTCTGTTGTTCATTTGAAACGATAATTAAATTGACAATAATGTCATAACTTTTCATAGTATCAGTATTATGTGATGTCACCTCAATCAATTCCCGATTATTGTCATTTTCTATACTAAAATGACATTTAACCTTTCTCTTTATAAGTTTTATTTTTTAAAATGTCACATTAGTCATGTTCTAAAGTTGATGGATGCTTTTCAAATGTATATGTGTCCTCAATCCTGAAAACCTCATATTNACTCATAACTCATCAATACTAAAAATCAGAAAATCGGACGCCTTTTGTTGGTCGGTCGTCTCCAATTTGTATGCCTTTTGTTGGTCGGTCGTCTCCAATTTGTATGAATCGGCTTGAAATATCGATTAGGTGGCACCTAGACAGGCTCGGAGGCCAGGCGATTGGGAGGCACCTAGACAGGCCTTGGCGGTAGAGTTGGCCACTGTCGTCCGACTCGCCGACCTGCCCGGAAAAAATCACCTATTTTTGCATAATAAAAAAATAAAATAAAATAAATAGGACATATTCGAGATCCGATTCATGTATTCGGTCCATAACAAGGTATGGTCTCATTCAGGGTTGCTGATTTTGAGCCCGGTTCGGGATTTGGTCATGTCTACTTGACAGGCCTAGGCGGCAATTTTTCAGTTTTTTCTTTTTTAAATATTAATTATATTATTTTGTTATCATGTTTTTTTATAATATATTAATATTATTATTTAGACTTAGGTATATGAATTTATTATAAATGAGGATAGTTTTAATTTGTAGGGAGTGAAAATAAATAATAAATAAAATATTTAATATTAATTTCTTAGCCTAAGCGCTAGGCGCTGGTCGAGTGCCTAGCAACTTCTATAACACTGCTCATAAGTATATCAACACGAAAAACTCAGCTAATTGATGCCTATAAAGGACCAACTCTATCTTAAAAGAAAGTTTTACTATCACAAGTTTGTACAACTCTAATGTGGTAAGGCTACTTGTAAGAAATTTGTAAACTCAAACCGTTGAAAGATCATAGTTTTTTTAACACAATATGCATACTTTCATGCACAGTGATTTACCTTAACGATAACATAAGAGTAACAGAATATTGATATTTTTCAATGTAAGTATGCCTTATTTGCTCAAAATGTATGAGGAGTCAATTTTTTTTAACTGTTCGGCTATCTCACAAAAGAATTTGTCGTTCTAATGTGAGAAAGTCCAACCTTGTTAAACTAATCTATTTTTAAATTCTTAAATAAAAATACTTGCTTATACTTTGAAATACTGAAATTTTATACATTTATTTAAATAATTTTTTAAAGCATAATATTTTTATATAAAATTATGTATATTTATTGTAAAGTATTGCATCAACCCAACTTAATCAAGGTCTTGAATTAGTTCATAAAAAATGTGTTGGACTTTGTCTTAGTACATCTATATATATATAAAAGCCAAACAGCTGAAATTTTCCCGCCTAAAGTATTGTAAATGCATCTCATTAATATTTTGATCAATTTGATATAGTTTGTCTCAAAATTGTAATGAATATGATTTTCATTAAGTATGAGAGCTAAAACACTACTACTATTGGTATTTGGGAAACCAAGGAAAAAAATAATTACACTTCATTTTTCCATGTACATCTAATACATACTCCAAGTAAATTAATTATACATATGAAGAAACTTAGAGGAAAAA